GGTACTGAATTATCTGAATTTGAACGTGGAGAAATTATTGGCTTAAAAAAGGCGAATTTTTCTTATAGGGAAATAGCTAACATATTAAATAGATCCAAAAGAGCAGTTGAAAATGCCATCAATGATTATTTTAAAAAAAACAAAACAACTGCAGCTCTTAGGACTGGCAGACCTAAAAAATTATCAACCCGCGATGAAAGACAGCTTGTGAAAGCCGTAAGAAAAGACCCCAAAACAACTGCCTATAAATTAACCAAGCAACTTGAAGAATTAAACATTATAGCAAGTGAATGTACTATAAGGCGAACTTTACATGCTAAAAATATTTATGGTAGAAAGGCTGTAAAGAAGCCATTAATTTCGGAAGTAAATAGGAAAAAAAGATTATTTTGGTGTCATGCAAGGAAAATTTGGGAAAACGAATGGGATAAAATTATATTTAGTGATGAGAGTAGGTTCTTACTATTTCAAAACGATTCAAATGATTGGGTTTGGAGAATGGCAGGGGAAAAATACAAAAAAGAATATTTAAGTCCAACAGTAAAACAATCTGACGGAATTATGGTTTGGGGTTGCTTTACAAGAAGAAAAATGGGTCCATTAGTATTAGTTGAAGGTAGATTAAATGCAAGTAATTATAATAATCTTCTTGAAGAAAATTTATTACCTTTTATTAATGAATTAAGTAGAGAAGATCGCCGTAATGATGGTGATGGTGTATTTATCTTTCAGGAAGATAATGCACCATGTCATAAAGCAGCTGCTGCAAACATATGGAAAGAAAATAATAACATTGTGGTTCTCCCCTGGCCTGCCCAAAGTCCAGATCTCAATCCTATTGAAAATTTTTGGCAGGATTTAAAAAGAAGACTTAGATTAAACAATTATAAATCGAAAAATAAGATTGAATTATTTAATTTATTGAAAGAAGAGTGGTTTAATACTAATCCGGAACAAATTAATAAATTAATAGATAGCATGCCACGAAGGGTAGATGCTGTTTTAAAAAGCAGAGGAAACCCGACAAGATATTGATTTTTTTTTAATAAAATACAATTAATTTAAAGTAGTTTCATATATTTTTTGAT